AGAGAGAGAGAGAGAGAGAGAGAGAGAGAGAGAGAGAGAGAGAGAGAGAGAGAGAGAGAGAGAGAGAGAGAGAGAGCTTGAGAGAGAGAGAGAGAGAGAGAGAGAGAGAGAGAGAGAGAGAGAGAGAGAGACCTTGAGAGAGAGAGAGCTTGAGAGCTTGAGAGAGCTTGAGAGAGAGAGAGAGAGACCTTGAGAGAGAGAGAGCTTGAGAGCTTGAGAGAGCTTGAGAGAGAGAGAGAGAGACCTTGAGAGAGAGAGAGCTTGAGAGCTTGAGAGAGAGAGAGAGAGAGAGAGAGACCTTGAGAGAGAGAGAGAGAGAGAGAGAGCTTGAGAGAGAGAGAGCTTGAGAGAGAGAGAGAGAGAGAGAGAGCTTGAGAGAGAGAGCTTGAGAGAGAGAGCTTGCGAGAGAGCAGACACACACACACACACACAGACGAAAGGGGGCGGTTGATTTCGTGTGACCAAATGTAATGTCAGATCGAGCCCGAGCGCAGGGGTCAGGTTGTAGAGGGCGATAATATTCAACCCCCGATCACTAAAAGCATGCATGCAGCTCAAAAATAAACTTTGCCTGCAGGCACGGCAGAAGGATCCGATTCCAATCGCGCAAGCCGTCAGGTCGCGCCTTCCACCCACCTGCACTGTTACAATCACGGGCCCTCGAGCTGTTCACCAGGTGATCAACCGTTTTCCCTCGCACCGCGTGTCCGTTTTTGAATCCGATTTCAGACAACAAACTCGATTGGCCCCCCTCGTTTTGTGATTTTGATTGTTTTCTTGCTTCCCCTCCTGCGCCTGCGTTGTGGCTTTTGTGTCTTTGGGCGTCCCCCTGGATTTGTCCATGCATGCAGTCGAGCGGGCAAGGTTGGGGAGCAAATGGCAAACGGTTGTGTTGTTGTGTTGCCCAACCAAGCCCAAGCGTCTGCACATACTCGAGCGTGCGTGTGTTGGTTTGGCCTTGCTCGTCGACGCGCGGCCCAAAAGCCAATGCATGCATGACCTTGCCACAAGGTGGCCTCGCTGCAAACCTGCACCGCGCACGTTTTGACAGAGCACCCTCACACCCGCGCAAACCCGCCGTACCTTCCCCAGTCGCTCGTCTCTTCCCGTTACCGATATCGAGGCATATGCCCGCGTGAACTTCCCGCTTGGCCTCTATCAGGAGCAACACGGTACAGTCTCGGTGGCGGCCGTCGCGAGGGTGGGGCACCGTCGTCATTATGATGCACCAAACACATCTGATTCGCACAAGACTTCCCGCTCCTGCCGCTGGGGCGACAGGCTCACCCTTCTGTCTCGTTCTGTCCTTGCCGTGTTTTCCTTTTTTTGATCTTTCTTTTTTTTTTCCCTCGAGGAAGCAGCACTTTGCGGGGATCCGTCACTCCACCTGCCGACGGAGAAGTAAAAGACCCGGAACAGTTCCATTTGCTCTTTGACCAGCGCTGGCAGTTTCAATTTGTTTCAGGTATGCAAACCTACCCCAGAGCCCCGCTGCTGTCCATGCCTCGCCCTCCGCGCTCGCGCGAGAGCTGTTTGGCGTGCATCGCGCCAGACGGCCGGTGCACCTCTTGTTGTTTTTGCTTGTTCACCCGCCTGATCACACGCTCCCCAGAAGCTCCGACCCGGTCTCCAACGTCCAAGCACACGGCACAGTTGAGGAGGGGGGTGAGCAGTGCGCACATGATGCGGCCGCTGCACCCCGTCCGATCGGCGTATGCCATTTGCGGTTCGTGTTCAACTTCCCAACCTCCCGTACTCTGCTTTGTGCTTTGTCGTCTGGTTGCTCAGACTCTCTCACGCAAGCGCTTCGGTTGGTGGCGTGTGAGCAGCTTTCGTGGCGGTGCTTGGTGGCTGGGTGACGGCCGTCAGTACCCTACAAATCACGCCTGATCTATCCGGCTGGCCCCATGGCTTCTCCCTCGGTTCTGTCAGCGGTTGGGAGGTAGACGGCCGGGTGACCGTCGGTACCAACGGGTCCATCGTGTTTGCTGCTCCAGCCGCACGCTTGGACATGGTCTTTGGTGGATCCGACCTCATCGCCGCGCTTGGAGGTTGCGACACGGGCTGCATCGACCAGCTCGTGCCGCACGTGGCCGGCCCCGTGCCCGCGAGTCTGGACTTGAGCCTTGTCCTCCCACAATCCCACAATACCTCCCGCCTGCTCGCACTTGCGCCCAACACCAGCATTGTTCTCGGGCCCGAGCAGCTCATGCTGGTCTTGCAACACGGCCTCACCGTTCGTCTTGCCGCCGATGCCGCCGTCACACTTCCTGGTTTCTCCCTGATGGCCGTGCGCTGCGCGCCCGGTGCCAGCGGCTTTGAGCAAGTCCTGCCCAATTCGCCCGACACGTGGTCACGCGATGGAACGGCCGTGACCATTGCCGATGGCAACAATGCATCGTATGGCGGCACGGCTGCCCCCTTGGTGGTCGTTGCGCTTGAAGGCTCTGGAACCGTTGGCATTCCATTGACCGTTTCCACGACGCCCTCGAACGTTGTCAGCCTTCTCAATGTGCGGGCTACCTTCGGTCTTACCGCCGCCACCATGCCCCCAGCCAGCGTGGCCATGACCTTGGTCGTGGCCGGTGCTCGTTACCTTCTCGACTTTGCCGTCTTTGCTGAAACTACACCTGCACAAACTCTTTGTCTTGCCGGACCCCGGCTGCTCACGGCATCCGAGGACATTGGCACAGCCCACCTTGAAATAGCCCTTGCCGCAAATAGCCGCCTCAATGCCACCATTCATCTCTTGGATCTCCAGGTGGATGTACGTATGCCATACGGCTGCTTGTGACCTCTGTGTTTTTTTCTTTTCTCTCTCGCGCTCTCGATGAAACGCTTCCCTCCCCCCCCCCCCGCCCCCGGTGCGCTGGGCTCTTCTTCACGAACGCGTGTGTTCATCTCCTTCCTGTCTGTACGTGGCGCCCATCGCTATAATTTTTTTTTCCTTGTACGCATAGGCGGTCGCGCAGCCAAGGGCGCTGCCAACTCCCTCCACGCCGGCTGCAGAGCTATCAACGGATCTGACCCCCACCCCTTTGCCCTATACCACCGTGGATGCATGGTCTACCACAACACCACCATTGAGTCTGGCTCAATTGCTGGCCAATTTGGATATCTCGGCATACGAGGCCCTCCCCACCGCCTCGGATGATGCCTCAGGTCTGACTTTTGTGGGATACACGGCAGAAACGGGCATTGTCGCAGAGTTTGAAGTGGACGCCGCCTCGGCTCAGACTTGCTTGGCCGGCTGTGCCGCACGTGTCGATTGCTCGGGCCTGGTCATTGAAATATTGACCAGCAGCGACCTGCGCTGCTCCTATTTGGCCTCTCTCGGTACCACCCAGACGACCAGTCTTCCCGTGCAACTGTTGTCCCTGCGAAAGCGACCACCCACCACAGACTCCGCGACTTCCTCCAGCCCCAGCACGAGCACCACTGCCCTCGCTGACACAACCACTGATGCGGATGACGGCAGCGCCGAGCCGGCCGTGGTGCCACCCGAGCCCCAGATTACCTCAGAGCTTCGCGCTGAGTTTATTCTCGCATATGCAAGCAACGGCACGGCCGACGGTGTCGTTCTTCGCGATTACTTGAATGCCACCCTCACTCGTGGTCCCTTTGAGTATGAGGACCTGAGTACCTGTTTTACGGCCTGCGCCGATGCTCCCGCCGATTGTGCGGCTGTGATCCTGACCGTGGCGCTCGCCGACCCCACCAAATGGGCTTGCAACTTTGTTACTGCCACCAGGGGTGTGGGAGTGCCCTCGGCTGAAATCTCACGGAGCTATGTTCGTCGCAGCGCGCTCACGACCCCTACCGCTTTACCCAGCACTGCGCATCCCACCACCACTTTCCCCAGCACGAGCGTTGCTCCGGCCACCACTACCTCGCCCATGCACTTTGGCCGGGACCTGATGTTGCCTCACTATGAGCTGGTCGCCGAAGGTGCGTATTCGGGCAGCAATACGGCCGCCACTGGCACTTCCTTTCGTTTTGTGGCAGCCGACACCGAGCTGCAGATGGATGCCACCCTGGCCGAGTGCACGGCGGCGTGTGACCAGTCAGGTACCTGCTTGTCCCTGCACTTGACACCTCCGCGCTTCTCGGATGCTTCGGACATGTACCACTGCACTCTGCTGCGCTCAATTGGGGCTCTTGTGACCACCTCGACCCGTTCCCTGTGCTTTATTCATCAATCGGTGGCTTCGACCCCGGGGCCAGACAGCAATAGCACCCTTATGGCACCCGTTGTCATTCCGCCAGCAGTAGCCGAGTACTTTGCAGCCCTAGAGCCCGATGCTAACGTCTCGGGGGCGGGCTATTTCGGCTGGCAGGTGGCGACCGGGGACGATGCCGTACTCACTCGCTTTACTGCCGTACATCCCGACGCTTGCTTTGGCGCGTGTCGTAGTGCCGCGCAGTGTGTGGCGTTGACCGTTCAGGCGCCGAGCACGAGCGGTGGCAATCCTGTCTGCGTGCTCCTTGACGCCGAAGTTTTCGTGGGCTATAGCACACATCAACGCTACAGCTTCCGGCTCGTGGCCCCCACCGTGGATCCCAATGCCACCACGACCACGTCGGCTCCCACCACTCCACTTCCGCCAGTAACAGTGCCGGCGATGTACTCCCATGTTTTTGTACCAACCTTTGAAGGCACGCAAACCACCAACGGCCCCCCCTTGGTTTATGCTGCCATTGACAGCGCTGCCGCTGTGATCAGCTTTCGTCGTGCCCCACAAACGCCGAGCAAATGTTTTACGGCGTGTGCAAATGAACCAACATGCTCCCATCTCGTCATTCAGACCGCACTCTCCTCCTTTGAGTGCTATCTCTTGCGCTCGGCGTCGGCATCAGAAACGCGCACCGCCACGACCACGTCATACTCTTATCGCCGCATTCCCGAGGACAGTTCGACGAGTCCCGAATCCACCACAACAGCGACAAGCAACGTTGCATCGACCACCATCACCACGACCATTTCGGCCACCGAGTTGCGCTGGTCGCTACCCGAAGCCTTTGCCGCCGACTTTAGACTGGCCTATGTGGGCGACAACGCAGACAGCCAGGACGAGCCCTCGCTCGAGTTTGAAGGTCTTGACGACCCCTTTACGTGGTTGCTGCAGATGGAGGGAGGCATGGATGGAGAGGTTTGTTTGGCTGCTTGCTTGGCTGAGGATGCCTGCGCTGCCGTACATCTGGCTATCACCGCGGGCTCTTCCATCCGCTGCACCCTGTTCAATCAAGTAACGCGCGCTCGCACCGCGCGAGACCCTTCCTATTCGCTCGTGCGTTGGACCAACCAAACCACCGCCGCCCCTCCCACGGTCCCGCCCAATGTGGAGGTCCCCTCCGAGTTTGCACTCGACTTTGCGATCCGCCATCGCGGCGGTCAGGCAGACTACGCGCGGTTTGCCACCGCCTACAACAGTCAGGCCATTCTGGGAGAGTCGAATCTCAACGTCGAGGTGTGTCTCAACCTTTGCAAGTACCACGAGCGCTGCGTTGGCGTCTTTGTCTACTACCCCCAGGGTGAATTTCGATGCAACATGCTGTCCGACCTGGGCGACACGGTGGTGGCCGATACGAGTGTCACCTACAGCTTTGCCAAGCTTGAAGACTCAACAACTAGCACCACGACCCTGATCCCACGCAGCAGTTCTCAAAGCACCGCCTCGACATTGGAAGCGACAACCATGCCGTCAACCCCATTCCCCCCGACCACCATCGAGCTGCGGTGGCACCTGCCCACCGCGTTTGCCGACGAATTTCGTTTGGCGTACGTGGGTGACAACGCCGACAGCACGGACGAGCCATCACTTGAGTTTGAGGCCATGGACGACCCTTTTGCCTGGATCACGCAAATGGAGGGCGGGACAGACGGCGTTGCCTGCCTCGCGTCCTGCTTGGACACGCCGGCCTGTGTTGCCGTCCATCTTGCCGTCGACGATGGCAACGAGCTGCTATGCACCTTGCTAAACGAGGTTACTCGCGCGCGCACAGCACGCCAGCCCTCGTACTCTCTTGTTCGCCGCACCAACGCCACCACGGCCATTCCCCCCACTGCACCCCCAGACCTGACCGTGCCCGCGGCCTTTGCTGATGCCTTTGCCGTGCAATTTAAGGGCGGTCAGGGGACCGCGCTCCGATTCTCAACCGCATACGCCAGCAGCAGCATTATCGGCGAAGTGCGACTGAACCTGGAGGTGTGCTTGGACATGTGCAACCGTCGTCCCGAGTGCTTGGGCGTTTTTGCGTATTATCCCATGGGTGCATTTCGGTGCAACCTGCTCCGTTCGCTGGGAGCTGCCCCGGTTTCAGACGACGAAGTGACCTACAGCATTGGCAAGCTCATCAGCACCACCACATCAACGACGACAGTTGCCGCCAGCCACCCATCACCCCCTTCCACGACAGCAGCACCGTCCACCGCATTGGAGACCAGTGCGTCAACAGTGCCGCTGTCAACCACCGTGGAACCCGGAGTCACCACCACGGAAACCGGAGTCACCACCACGGACACCGGAGTCACCACCACGGTCTCGTCTGGCTCCTCGCCTGCTCAGAGCACGTCCACCAGTGAAGGCACGTCGCCTTTTGCGTCATCAACAAGTGGCCCCGCACCAAGCACAACCATCCAGGGTTCGACTGAAACGTCCGTGACGGCAGCTCCATCCACGTCTGCCTCCACGGGCTCTGGTGAAGACAGCACCACAACGGTGCCTTTGTCGTCCACGTCCACTTTGGCCACAAACCTGCCATCGACGTCCACGTTGGGATTGGCCAGTACAAGTACAACGTCGCTGAACAATTTTCCATCGCTGCCAAGCGCTTTTGAAAACGACTTTTTGCTAGCTCACGAGAGCACCGGTCTGGGTCTGGACACAGATTTGGCGTTTGACTTGAACCTGCATTCGTCGGCATTTTTGCAAAATCTGACGCTGGATGAGGATTCCTTCTCCGTTTGCGTGCAATCATGCAGCTTGTCTGTCAACTGCGCAGCTTTCTATGTGCGCCTGGATCTTGAGGCCGAACCGCGTACCGTGAGCTGTTTGCTTTTGCGCGACGCCAACCTGCCTGTCATTCCCGATCTCACTCGCTCTCGCAGCTATATCAAGACGGCCCAGTCATTCTTCAACTACACGTTTTATCTCGATGCTCCTTATGACGAGCTGGCCGGCACGCCCGAGCGGCGCCAAGCCTTGCGTACGCTCATTCATGAAGCTCTTGCCGAGGCCGGTGCCAGCTTGAACAAGGCCACCATCTTCATTCAGCGGGGTAGCATCGTGGTCACCGTCCAAAGCAGTGAAGAAGAAGTCGCCAGCGTGCGCCAGGCAGTGGTCCAGGGCTCGGTGATCATTCAAACGGCACAGGGCCCCATTGTGGCGCAACCAGGTGAGTTTTGGAACCTCGCGTGGTCGTAGTCCGTGCTTTGCTTGTATGTGCCTGTGTAGTCAGAGCAATCAATTCCGGCCTGTTCATCGATGGTGAATAGTGCCCATACTCATGTGCTTCATTTCACGTCTTGTTTGTGCCCATTTTGTTGCTTGACACAGTTTTAGACACGACCGCAAATCCTGGCGCGACGTCTGTACCAGGAGTGGAGAGCAACCGCTCCTCCAAGGGCGACTCAACCTTGGCCATTGGCTTGGGAGTGGCCATTGCTGCGGTTGTGTTGTTGCTCATCATCCTCCTGGTGGTGCTGATGCAGCACCGCCGCGATACCAAGGGCCGCTACGTCATTGATGAAGCGGCCAAGCCAGACGAGATTGTGACTGACCTGCCCGCATACGACAACTACTCGGCCCCTCTGTTTGGCACGGATCTGGACCGCAGCCTCGCGCGCGCACCCTCGACCAAGCTGACAGACCAAGATCATGATGATGTGTACTCGCTGCACAGCTTCAAGTCACGCTCCATGCTTATGGAATCGACCACGACCGCGCCTACCGTGGTGCCTGAGTCTGACGCAGGCATCACGACACCGCCTCCGACCCGACCGCCGCAGTACTACAACACCATCCCCTTATCCCCGGCCACAACGACCGACACCGAGCTCGGGTTTCCCATGACGCCTGTGGCTGGAGCTCGCCCTAATGCTCATTCCCCCGTACACTTTGACACCCCTCGACCGGTCATGGCCTCGGAGGCTCGCTCGTCGTCCCCCAGTGCAGATGTGCCCGCATTGAGCAGCTTTCGCCATGATGGTCACCAGCAGCAACCTGTCCTGATTCTCGATGAGTCCAAGATGTTTGGAGGTGTTAAAGAAGTCTCCGTTTAGGCTTGTATAGGTCATGCCCAGACTTGTCAGGCCTCTGTTCATGTTATTATTAAATCGCTTTGTCTTTGTCTTTCGCCCGCAGCTGGTCCGAAGACACGGGCATCCAGCAACAGCCGAGCTGCTTGTGGTTAATCTTCTTTCCACTGCATTCTGTTGACATATTCTCTCGCTTTTGATTTCTCTCGTCTTGATTTTTTTGGGGGTAGTTGCGACGCAGATTGTGGTGGCCATGCTCCTCGTCTCATGGGACATGGACGCATGCTTTGATGGTTTTTGTTTCTGCCCATGTCCGTCACCCCATGCCTTGGCTCACAAAGAGAAGGGAAAATAAGCTCTTTGAAACCCGAGTACCAAGTAATTCTAGATCTTAAACCCATCCGTGCCCTCGTTGCCTGTCGACTCCGCTGTCTGCGCTGCCTGGAGACTACGCAATGCAAGGGAGGGCAGTAAAAGGAAGATTCTGAATCAGAATGATGGGTGGTACAAGTCGGATCGAAGCCATGGTTGGCCTTGCCCGGTTTTAACTCCTGGTACTGTTGTCTGATGCTCTTACGTTGGGCACAGATACATGTAGTGCTCGGATTCTTGCAAGCGGCGACCCGGGCCGAGCAGGTGTTCTTGAGCAAAAGACTAATTGTATCAACTGTACAGCTTTGTGCATACACTTTTGCCGTTGAATAATGTTACGCAACGTAAATCCTTCGAGGTTTTGTGGTCAAATATAAGGAAGATGCAGATAGCATGTTTTGTAGTAAAATCTGGGGAAATCGCAGAAGAAAGCTGTTTATCAGCAAGGGAGCAGCTAAGAAAAATCGGAGATCTCGTAGAAGTTGTGTGTGTTTGTGTGTAAAGAAGTGTGTAGTTCTGGTTCATCATTTTTTTTTTTCTCGAGCTGTGTGTGCTCTTCTCCGCAGGGCATCACCCTTGTCTGCCACACACCACCAAAGTATTGCCCGCCGACGACAGCAAGCCTCCACATCCTTCCCATATGCTTCAGCGGAGCAGGAGCATTCGAGTCCAGTAGCATGTCTGTCGCGCCCAACAAGACGGTGGTGGCTGAGGCCAACAAGCAGTTGCAGGCCATGCCTCGAACGCAGGTTAGTTCTGTGGGCCACCACGCTCACCTCCTCGTTCTTGGGTGGAAACGTCGGTCTGGCCACCCTTGGCCGTCGCAGCTTTTCGGGTTCAGTCGGCTCAAACAATCATCATCACATGGCGCAGCTTGGATGCTTCATTGACGCTCAAGGCAGAGAGCCGCTGATTGTATGCCCAAAATGTTCGCTCACGTTCAAAAATCAGAAGGACAGGGAGAATCATCATCGCAAGGTGGGCCTCGTGCGGTGGACGTTTCCTTTCATGCGACCTATCACAGCCTCACTTCGGTTTGTAACCAACTGGTAGCATCATCAGCAGGAGTCGTGGATCACCATTGGTCAAAGGACGTTCCTTCTAAAAAGAGCACTCGATGACAGATTCTTTTGTCCATTTATCAACTGCAAAAAAAACTATGCCTGGGGTGAGGGCATCAGGCGGCATCTCAAAACGAAGCACGGGCCTGTGATAAAGGACCCCGCTGCCAAGCTGAACGTTCGTAGCTCTGCTATAGTGACATCTGGTCGCAAACGCACCTCGAAAAAGGGCACGCTTGGTGCTGACGTGGTGTTTAGAACGCGGCCAGCCCCCGAACAGGAGTTGCAAGCTTTAACAGTGAATGGCGTTCAAATGAACGTGGGTGACCTTGGGAAAGGTCTACGAGCTTTGCGAGCAGAAATGGACGACACTCTCACCACGGAGCTACTCTTCAACTCGGGGCTGGAGAAGCGGGTTTACGCTGTCTTGCCCTTGCTGCGGGACTCTCATCAACCCGAACCCCCTCAGTCCTGGGTAGGCCAGGATTTGAAGGATATTGACGGCAATGACTTTTACACAATGCTGCTGAAGCACATCTTGGAAACTCCAAAGCTGGTCAAGGAGTTTACCTCGCCCAATGCCCCTGGCAAGTTCAGCGTGGAACCAGTGTGGCGCTGGATCTGCTCCCTGCGAGAGTTCAATCGCCTGGCATTGACCTATGCACACCTGTCAACTGGTACGTCTGATCGTCTGAGTGTTAGAAGCGATTTGATTGAACGCGGTGCAGTCTCACCATACACCCACCTGTGTATAGGTCTGTCGGTGCGTGCAGTGGTTTACTCGAGTCTTTTTTATCGTGACTCTCCTGCCAGCCCCCGGAGTGTGTTCTTTTCTGGAGATCGCTTGGCGGTTGTGGCGCGACGCGGCAAAACTACACGGATCAGCAACCGCGAGTGGCATGCTACGCACTACATGGACAAGCGGGCCAGTGCGGTCATGATGGCGTACCTGCTTTTGTGCAAGCCGCTGGAGGAGCTGTTTATTGATTATTTGCAAGAGCGGGGCGAATTGATCACGTCCTCGACAATAGATCCCATCCCTTTGACAGAACAGGAGCAAGATGAGCTTGAAGCAGACGCGATGGAGGCCGAAGATTCGATCGAGCCCGACAACGTTGGTTCTGTTGACGACCAGCACGATAATTTGTTGCGAGCTGCCAAGCGTGTCGAACTGGAGGGCACGTATGAGCTGCTATTCAATATTGTGCCGATGCAGCTCGAAAAACAGCTTCACCCAGGCCAAGTCTATCAAACTATTCAGGCCGTGACCAAGAAGTTTCTTGGTACCAGCATCTCTGTCAGAGCATGGCGACACACGGGCCACCAATATGTGTCCGAAGCGTGGCACAAGCTCTTCAAGCTGGTGAAATAAGCCTCAAGCTGCGACAATGCTAAGTGCGACCAGTGGCGCAAATGTACGTGCTCATCGCTAGTACACAGGTGCGAGAGACCGTGGGCGCGCAAGCAGATCTTGAGGATGATGCCGAGGGTGACAGTGACCACACCTTTGCCGGGTTGGTTTTGGACGTGGCTGAGGTAGCCGAATCGTCCGTGTCAGCTGTGGTGCCGCAAGCCGTGCTTGAGGCTGCGTTCTCGGCTGCGCGAAAGGTGCGGGCGACGACCAGCCCTCTATCCCCTACGTTTGACTGTGACATATATTCCAAGCCACGGGCGCCATGACACATCCCAAAGCTCAGTACAGCGTTGACTGAGACAGCACGGATAGAAAGCACTTTGATCTCGGAGTCAGAGCAGCTGCTGCTTTGACCAGCAGGAAAGCCACGTAATTGCGTTCGTGACGTTCACCATGATAGTCCTTCTGATGCTTTTTCTTGCCCTTGCTCCGTTTCTCCTCGGTCGAGCCGAAGCGAGTTTGATGCGGCTCAACGTTTTTGTTGTCTTGGCTGCTCATGCGGTGGTGTCGAGGACCGAGCCTGAGGACGCTTCCAATGAAGAAGATAAGATGTGTGAGGCCCATGAGGAGAGCGGGCAATGTTTGTGACTTTCCCCCGCTGCGACCCGTGTGTGGCGCATATACATCCGCGCACCTCCCAGCCGGTTTCAACCGGCTTGAGCGCTCTGTTATGATCTGAGCCTCACCGCTCAGGCCTTCCGACTACAGAAGGGGTCAAAAGACTTTAGTCGATTGCAGCAAAAAAACGCAGTTTTTTTGCAGCGACAAGAAGATCTCAGATATCATTCAATTGACTTGACTGTTTCCTTTGAACTTGATTTGGCTCGCTCCCCGCCAAGAAGGGTCCTAGTGCGAGATGAGTTTGATGTACCAAGAGGGGGTAAATCGGGTCGCCAACGCCGCGCTCTCTTTGCTGGACGCCCACAGCTTTGCTTTAGCTCTTCCTCGACACATGGAAGAGGGCTGGCAAAGCATGCCTGGTGGCTTGCCTCTAAAGATGGACGGGCCCGAGGCACACAAGAGAATCATGACGCGAAGGGAGTTTTGAACACCAACGTGGACCACGCGTATTCCATTATGCTGCTGCCACGACAGACAAAGGTGTAGTATACGAATGTGTACAGGCCCCAGTTTTGCAGCGCTTCGGATTTTGTTCGCATGACCATTTTGACTATTTTTAGACATAACATCAACCAAAACAAAAAGGAAGTTGGAACATCCCACATGCATGTGTCGCATTTTTCATCCTCCTCTTCTGCTTTTGACTCTTGTTTCCCTCTGCGACATTGGTTTCAACATCGGCGTCAGCGAGCTGGTTGACGTGACTTGCCTGTGTGTGGTGGTTGATCGTGCTTGATCAGTCGTGCTTGGTACGGGAAGTTTCTGGTTGAGGTTTTGTGTCGACGCCGGAACGTTTTGGTTGAGAGCATCGTTGTCACTTTTTCTCTTCCCCGTGACCTTGCCTCACAGTCGTCAGCATGCGCTAATCCCAACCCAAGTTCACCTGGACACGCAGGTTGCTTGGTGCACCACACAGAGAAGAGCAAGGCCCGACGTCCGGCTGCCGTTATGGAAACTGTGCGCACGTCAAACCGTACAACATTGACAACTTGTACTTGGAGGGGTGTCAGGCTCGACGGCCAGCACGGAGTTTACGCTCACCCCGAGCTCAAAAGATTGGTGGGGGATAGAGAAGCAAAGAGCGGTTTGAAACGGATGATACCGTTACCATGAATGATGATGGACAGCAGCTGTACGATGCGGGTGGTTCAGATCTACAATCGCTGTTAAGCAGTTTTGACGAACAACGTATTCGAGATGTTGCCAAGTCCATCGAAGTACGTTTGCTGTTTGTGATGTTGCGTGACATTCGTACAAACTTTGAATATACAGTATTCTTATCACACATGCCTGCATGTTTGCATCATCCCACAGGATAGCTGGACGCCACTGCACAAGGCCTGCGAACGCGGTCATGTCAAGGTGGTGGAGATGCTGTTGAAGCTCAATGTTGATGCTGAAGCCAAGACCATTGTCAGCACAGCACCCCCCTCTTTCCGCTTGTCCTTTCGATGATGGTCCACCTGGACGAGATGATGATGATGATGATGTACATGTACGTAATGCTGATGCATCGTCCCACAGGTTGGCGATACACCACTGCACTGGGCCTGCTATGAGGGTCAAGACAAGGTGGTGGAAATACTGTTGAAGAACGGTGCTGATGCTGAAGCCAGTAACATCGTCAGTGCTGGACCTCCCTCTTCCCGTTTGTCCTCCCGATGATGGTACACCTGTACGAGACGACGACGATGATGATGATGCTGTACCTGTACGTCATGCTGATGCATCATCCCACAGGGTGGCTGGACATCACTGCACTCTGCCTGCTATAAGGGTCATATCAAGGTGATGGGAATACTGTTGAAGAACGGTGCTGATGCTGAAGCCAAGGACATCGTCAGTACAGTATCTCCCTCTTTCCGCTTGTCCTCTCTACGATGGTATTCCTGTACCTGATGATGGTGATGATGCTGTGTCTGTACGTGATGCATCCTCCCACAGTTTGGCGATACACCACTGCGCTGAGCCTGTAAGAGCGGCTGTGTCGAGGTAGTGGAGGCGTTGTTGAAAAGCGGTGCGGTTTCTGAAGCCAAGGACAGGGTCAGTGCAGTTCCTTTCTCTTTGTTCCTTCCCTCTGGCTGCTGCTCCTGCTCCCGCTGCTCGTCGCCTTTGCCCCGTCCCTCTCCTTCACCCTGCCCACCGTGCGCGTCTGCCCTGCCTCTTGCTCTTTTTCTTCTTTCTTGCTCCCCTCTTCTTTTTCCGTTTTCCGCCTGCTCTTTATGAGTGCTCCCTGCACCCCACCCTGTTCCGCTGTATCTACCGCCTTTTCCCTTTCCTGATGTTGTGGCTTCAAACCGACCATCACCCATCCCTGCTATTGCGCCTCTGCCCCCCTGGCACGATCAAGCGGCTTTGAGTAGTCGTTCCTTCAATTTACCCCGGCACACTCGACGCTCACCCCCCCTCCCCTCCTAAAAAAAAACAGAATGGCTGCGAACCACTGCAAATTGCCTGCAAACGCGGTCATGTGCAGGTTGTACAGCTGCTTCTGGAGCACCACGCCGATGCTGAGGCCAAGGATTTGGTTTGTGATTCTACTAGGCAATGACCCTTGTGCCGCATCTTTTTCGCTCGGGCTTGTGATGAACTGGATTTCACTGGCTCATCCAGACCCTTTGTTTTGCGCTGCACGTCTGACTTGCCCAAAAAATGACACTGCTGATCAACCAATGCCACATTTGGGCAAGAAAAAAAAGATACTAAACCTGGCAATCGTGATTAACCATTGCAGAAAGATGTATGATTATCCTTGGCGGCGGTCCTCAAGGAAGCTTGTAGAACTTCGTCATTGTTCCTGCCATCGAGATATAAGTACGGTCCTGTAGATCGAAAATGGCATGTTGTTACTTTGTACCTTTCCCGTTTCTGTTTCCTCTGTTTGCTTTGTGAATTGACCACAGGCAGATCATATTCTAACAGCTATGTGAACAGAAAATGAAGTCAACGAGCAGGGGTTTGTCGAACGTCAGAAGTAGAACAATCCAGCAACCACCGAGAAGAAGCGGGAAACCGCCTCGTCTTCATTCACTATGACATCTCATGATGGCAACGTCTCGGTAGTGGTGGCTGCGGCACTGCGCGAGCTGCTGATGAGGGCGGCTCGCCCGGGGATCAACGAAGCAAGCGCAAGCACAATAAAAAGACATGAAGAAGCACAAGAAGCACCGAAAAAATAGCTCAAGACTTTTTACTGTCATCATGTATCGGACTTTGTCAGGCTCCAGCATGTCTGGAGGTCGGCTTTGGGTCGAGAGGAAGCGCATAGATTTGAGGAAGCGTTTTGAGAGAGATTTGAGAGACGTCCGTCGGGATGGAGCGAAAGCTTTAATGGTGTCTTGGAGTCAATTGACCCAGCTGCGGTTGGCAAGCATTCACAGTGACCAGACCTCACCGCACGGGCTTGCCGACTGCCAAAGGGGTCAAAGACTTCTTACAGTGGCGGTCGATTGCAGCGACGGAAAGAGTTCATGCTTAACTGCTCGTTCCCTTTGGACATGCGCTGCAAAAAAAATTTTGTCGGCCCGCTCGCCGTCAGAAATGCACATGCGGGCTGTGAGATGAGATTGATATGGCTGGAGGTGTTAAACCGGGTAGCCAACGAGCTCGGAGCATCTGCCAGCTGCCACGGCAGACGGATTATAAAGGGGCTGCTCATCGGCTGCCGTTTTGAACTTAAATCGAGGTATTACAGGTCAATGTGCTTTGCAGCGCTTCGTATGACCGTTTTGACCTATTTTTAGACATCCCATCAACAAGGGAAAAAAAAACAGGTTGAAAATTTCATAGCATGTGCTGCATTTTTCAGCCTTCTCTTTTGCTTTGCCCCTTTTTTATCCCCTCTTCGGCATTCGTACGGATATCGGCATCAGAGGGCTGTCTGACGTGTCTTGCTTTTTTTTTTGAGTGTGGTGCTTGATCGCTTTTGTTTGGTACGGGACTCTCTTGGTCGGAGACTTTGTGGCGACGCCAGTGCATTTTTTATTAAAAGCTTTGCTGTCTGCCTCCCCGCCCCCCGCCCCCCCTTTTAGTAAGGCCACTGATCCCGCCCCACAGTGTCAGTGTGAGGTCGTCGCAGCTATGGGATACCAATAGGAAGACCCATAGCGACCGATGCTGAGTGTGTGTGAAAGCAGTGGGAGTGCTCAAATGCGTGGAAGCACGGATTTGACGCTAACACCTGTACGCCATGCCGATGCATCATTCCACAGGATGGTGATACACCACTGCACTGGGTGTGCATGAAGGGTCATGTCGAGGTGGTGGAGCTGCTGTTGAAGCACGGTGTTAACAATGAAGCCAAGAACAAGGTCAGTACGGAACTTCCCTCTTTTCCCTTGACCCTCCTATGATGATACTCACCTGAGCTTCATGATGATGATGATGATGATGATGATGATGGTGATGATGATGATGATAATGTACCTGTACGCCGTGCCAATTCATCATTTCACAGGATGGCCATACACCACTACACTATGCATGCAACAACGATCATGCCAAGGTGGTGGAGATGTTGTTGAAGTACAGTGTTGATACCAACGTCAAGGCCAACGTCAGTGCAGAATATACCCTCTTTGACCCCCCCTACGATGGCGCATGACTGTACCAAATGATGATGCTGATGATGATGCTTACCTGTATGTCATGACGATGCATCATCCCACAGGATGGCCGGACACCACTGCACTGGGCCTGCAGAAAGAGCCATATCGAGGTGGTGGAGGTGCTGTTGAAGCACAGTGTTGATACCAACGCCACGAAAGACGTCAGTACAAGTAGGTTATCCCCCTCCTCCCTCTCCTTTGGCTGCTGCTGCTGCTGCTTTCGCTGCTCGTCCCGTTTGCACCGGTTCTCTCCACTCTACACCCTACCCCTTGTGCGCGTTCATTTGGCCAACTCCTGTCTTCTTTGTCACTATCCCTCTTTTTTTCCCGTTTTTGTCCACTCTTCGTCGGTGCTCCCTGCATTTCATCTTGATTCCTGCTGTAGCTTCCGTTCGCGACAAACTCATATCTCATGTTGCCGAATGTTGATAATAACATAGAACGGCCAAACGCCACTTCATGAAGCCTGCATTGCCTTGTCTGCCAGCCGAAAGAGTATCCATCAACTCCTGCGGCACGGTGCCAACCCGGATATGAGAGATCTTGTAAGCGCGATGCTGTACTTTTGAGCTGTTCTGCTGCACCGGCGATTGATATCTGATGGCCTGCCGTGGTAGACTATTGGACTACAAGCATAGACGTATGTCCAGAAGCTGCTGGAACACTCTGGAAGATATCAGTCCAGGATGATGTCTGATGATCCTTGACGGCGCTCGTCAAGGAAGCCTGTAGAACATTGTGATTGTTCCTGCCACCGAGATATAAGTACGGTCCTGTAGACCGGAAGTGGCATTTTACTTTGTACCTTTCCCGTTTCAATTTCCTCTGTTTGCTTTGTGAATTGACCACAAACAGATCACATCCTAAAATAGACGGGCGCACGGCCCTTGGATCTGCTCCTTAGCAGGAGTCCCATGAAGCTGGAGGTGGGCTTTTTTACTTTTCGGTACTGATTGCAGAGTCAGGCTTGCTCACCGATAAATCTGCTTCACTTCATAGCTGATGAAGAGCTATTGCGCGCAACCCGTACTCCTTGCTCCTATCAAACTTCAGATTCCTATGGTGCGAACCTGTAGCCAATGTGATTGTCTCTATCGTCTTGTTCTCATCGAATTTCAACGTGGTGCCAGTTCAAGGCTTGATTCATGCGGAGCAGGCCAGACGCTGGCGGTGCGCTGCTGCTGTTCTTTGTAGCGTCGGCTGGCGCGTGGATCCTCAATTGTTCAATATCCAAGATCTGCAAACCCTTGGTGACCGCGTGGCCGCTCTAACGGCCGCCGCTCAAGCAGCACGTAAAAATTGAAATGCGTGACGCTTGTGGTTGGCTTGTCGATCGCTATGCAAACAGAAAATAAAGTTAATGTTCACGGCGGGCTTTGCCAAACGTCTGAAGCAAACCAGTCTGACCACCATCGGAAAAAAAAGTGGGAAACCGCTTCGACTTTATTCACTATGGCATCAAAAAATGACGATTGCATCTCGGCAGTGTCGGCTGTGGCGCTGCACGAGCTGGCGACGAGGGCATTGAGCGGCGGTCTTAACATGCAAGCGATCAGTTCCGGTCACGCTCGGGTATTCTGACAATTGGATGCAGTAAATGTGTGTCTGGTTGCCAAGGTTCTTGGTGTCTTTGCAAGTCAGCTTGTGAGATATCTGTGCTGGTACAAACTTGAAAAGCTATACAGCGCTCTCATGCCTCCTTCGCATCGTCACTAAGTTGAATTTAGACGTGACTGGGGTCCTAGGTGCGTTGGCTGGCTACAAGTGTGGGTAAAACTGCGTCGTCAGCAGAAGCGAAGGCGCGACCCAGACTGAAGAGCGACGTCCACGCCAAGTCTACCAAACCATCCAGGCCGTGACCAAGCGGTTTCTTGGAACCAGCATCACTGTCAGCGCATGGCGGCACATGAGTGTGGCTTGGCTGCGTACACTGGTGTTGCATCATACGCCCGAGCCTTCATTGGGGGCGTTGAATGTGGCACACTCTCAAAGCCAGCATGCAGGCAGAACGGCACGCAACGTCTATGGCCGCACGCAGCTCGATCACAAGTTTGTGTCCAGTGAAGCACAGTATGGCCACCAGTTTGTGTCTGAAGAATGGCACAAGCTCATGAAGCTGGTAGATGTAGAGGATCAGATCCAAGCCGAGGCCGTGGATGGGCAGACCTGCGTGCAACAAGTGGTTCATAAACAGGTGGTCATCCAGTCGTCTCGGGTCAGAAACGTCAGCACACAGGTGTAAGCGACCGTGGGCACGCAAACAGATCCCGAGGTTGAAGCCTGCCTTGATGCTGAGGATGACATTGACGATATCATTGCCGGGTTGGATTTAGACGAAGCCGAGGCAGCCGAATCGTCCATGCCAGTTGCCGTGCCGCGAGCCGTGGAAGAGGCTGCGTCGACGGCCTTGCAGCAAGAGCCAAGCCAGCACAATGACCAAACGCAGCAGGAAGAGTATGAGATGTGTGCGGCAAGCGTGGAAGACAACATTTCGCGACTGGGATCAGTATCGATTGGCACAGGCTGTGACTCGGCACGAAGCCCAGGACGGCTGGCTGTTGGCCGTGGCCCCGACGGGCATGGGCAAGACGCTGTGTACACTCGCTCACCTCCAGCCACGCAAGGTCGTGGTGTGGGTAGTCCCGCTTCGTGAGCTTGCCAGAGACTTGTGCCGCCGCTTCGAGCAGGCAGACATTGTATCGCAGTGGGCTAAGAATGATGGCCGCGACATGCAAGTCAACGTTCAAGTGATTGTCATGACGGTCGACTTTTTGGTTGGCTATGGGATGAGGTGGGTGCAAACTCTCGTGCAGCAGAAGCGTCTGGCCATGCTGGTGATGGACGAGGTTCACACAATGCTCGTGGACACCAGCTATCGAGGGAGTCTTGTTCGCTGCCCAAGCCGGCTGGACCATCTTCGCCAAGACCCATCAGTCAAGTGTGTGGGCCTGACTGGCACGCTTTGCCCCAAAGATGAGCGGGCTCTGCTCCAACAGCTGGATTGCACGGAGGACGCTTCGTACCAGACCTTTCGTATGCCAACCATGCGAACCGATCTTCGGCTAGCGGTGCAACAAGGAACAACAAAGGCATTTGAGATGTTTGTGGAACGCCACTACGACCTGTTGGAGCAAGAGGGCCGCGTGGATCGCATGCTGATTTTTTGTGACACGAAGAAGCAGGTTGAGGCATTGTCGACTCAGTTGGCACGCACGTTGGGTCACGAGCAGTCGCTGGCCGTGGATGCTGACATGTCAGCCGAAGACACACGAGCCGCTCTTGAGCAGTGGAGGAGCGGCACGCAGAGTTTGGTCTTGGTGGCCACAAGCTGCTTGGGCGCGGGCTTGGACATGCCCAACGTCCGGAAGGTGATCTGGTTTGGCAGCGGCTACAACGGCTACACCTTGTCGCAGGCCTTTGGCCGGGCTGGCCGCGACCGACGGGGTGGCAAGGCCACGCTATGGATACCACCAGGCACAGCGGTTTCGGAAGACCTGCAGCCATTTGCAAGCATGAAGCGCTGCCTGACCTTTGAGCTTGGCTGGCTGCTGGATGGTGAGGGCCACATTTGTGCAGCCGCAGGAGCGCCGGCTTGTAATGTGTGCT